ACCTCACCAAACTAGATTTACCCTCTAGTCTCCTTTTCCAGGAGGTAGATGGTCTCTCTCTTTTTTTTTTTTTTATAATTTAATCATGCAAATATTCCTTTACATGGTAAGGAAAACCTCATCTCCTCCTCCTCCTAGGCACCACAAGGCCCACCAGACACCCGTCACTGTCCAGCTGGGAGGGGCAGCAGGTCGCCCCACATTCATCCAAGGAAACAAAGGATAGCAGGGCAAGGCTGGGGACAACACATTAGTTGCATTTGTGAGTCCTGGCAACCGGTAGATGGTCTCTTATGCAGCTCTTCCTCACAGACCAATCTCCAACACTCCATGAGCCTTCTATGCTGACCAGTCCTATGTTAACTTGACACACAAACTAGAGTTATCTGAAAGCAGGGAACCTCAATTGAGAAAATGTCTCCATATGATCCAGCTATAAGGTATTTTCTTAATTACTGATTGATGGAGGAATGCCCAGCCCATTGTGGGCGGGGCTACCCCTGGGCTGGTAGTCCTGTGTTCTATAAGAAAGCTGGCTGAGCAAGCCAGTAAACAGTACCCCTCCATGGCTTCTACATCAGCTCTTGTCTCCAGGTTCCTGTCTTGTTTGAGTTCCTGTCCTGACTACCTTCAATGATGAATAGCAATGTGGAAGTCAAATAAACCCTTTCCTCCCAACCTGCTGTTTCGTCATGGTGTTTTGTTGCAGCAATAGAGACCTTAACTAAGACACCTTAACTCTCTTGCCTCTTGGGCCTATACAGTCTCCAGAGACAAGACCCAGATATGCCAACCATTGACCACCTATCTGGGCCTCTCAATCTCACTAGAAGGGAGAACTACACCCCAAACCAAGATAGAGAAACTCCTTGTCTATCCATCGCACGAACCAAAGGCAGACTATTTACATTATTAGGCTTTTATAATTTTTTCAAATACAGATTCCCAAACTCTCCCTTGCTGCTCAGCCTCTTAATGAAGCCACTAAGAGGCTCCTAGAGGAGCCACTTTTCCCCCTCAATCCATCCTTTCTCCCATAAAACCAATGAAATCTACTCTTTCCTTCACCTCTACACTAGCACTTCCAGATCCAAACAAGGACTTCTCTCTCTTTTTAAATGCTAACCAAGGACAAGCCTTTGCAACACTCTGCAGACAGGGAGGAACATATATTGTCCCACGGCCTGTTCTGACATGGTCACCAGAGACTGGCCACCCTCCCTCCAGACCATGGCCATGGTGGTACTGCCTGTCCCTGAGGCAAACAAAATCTTACTTCACAGCCCCCTACACATGCTCACTACATCCACTCAAGGACTTAATCAGCCACCACACTTTCCTAATCACCCCCAAACCAGGGTACAGCTTTTCCATGCTTACTTATTAGATCCTAACTTTGTATATGAGTCATGCTCACTTCTCAAGCCCAAAACACACATCCCCAGTAACCCTCCATGCCCTCAGAGCTCCTTCACGCTTGCTCTGAGACACATGATTTCTTCTCTAAGCCTTTTGCCCATATTTTCATTACCACCTATAAAAGGTCCCCAACTTGTTTATAATTGATAGTACCCCAAAACAAGCCCCTTACACAGCACAATATGCTATATACTTCAAGGGGATCCAACTACATCCACAAGCCCACACATACTAGAAATCAAATCCCTAACCTGGCATACAATTTCCAACAGGCAGAACTAATCGCTTTTACCCAGGCTCTCACACCTGCTTGCAACCTTAGAGTCAATATATTCTTGACGCTAAATATACTTCAACATGCTATTCCAGAGAGAAAGGGGCTTCCTAACCCAAAAAGGAACATCAATTATTAACTCCCTTTTAATACAGGAACTCCTCGAAGCAGTTCCACCTCCCACCCAGCCATTCTTCAGTGCAGTGGACATGAAAAGGACAAATGATATATCTCTCTTCTCAATAACATGACCAACCTAATGGCCCAACACACTGCCCTGTCACATCTTCCATCTACTCTGACGACAAAAACCTCCATCTCCAGAACCACCTTGTGCACTCAGAACCCTCTTTCTGATGGCTGACATCCTAACTCACCTATACCCCCTAAGTTACCCTTCTAATCAAACTCTTCTCTCCTTTCTCTGCAGTTAATTACCACTATTCACTGGTGGGCTATTTCTAAAAAGACTTACCACGTTCTGTGAGACCAGCCAAAAGACAAATCCTAATCCCAACCTTTGCTTCCCCAGTTTCCATCTCACCAAATGAGAGTCCAGTTACCTTCCCCAGACTAGCAGTTAGCTTTCACCATATTCTCCTAGTCGGATGACACAAACATTTACTAGTATTCGTAGATACCTTTTCAGGATGGGTTGTAGCCTTCCAAACCACAAATAAGAGGGCCCACACTATAGTTTACACACTACTCTCTGAGATCATCTCTTGCTTGCCCTCCTCCATTCGGTCAGATAATGGCCCCAAGTTCATCTCTTCGACTACCCAACCTGTGTCCAAATCCCCTGGAAATTCTACATCTCTTTCTGGCCCCAATCCTCAGGGGAAGTTGAGAGGATGAATAGGGCCATAAATGACTCCTGGCTTTACCCCCTCAATTTGACTCTACATCTCTAGGTCCCACCAAGCTCAAGATAGCCAGGCTTCCAGTTTCCCAGCTCTCACCATCAGAGAGGCAGACTGTGTAGGACCAGAAACAAATTGTACCTGCTTGGCTCCCAAGCTGTCTCACCAAGTTCTTCCAACAAAGACTACCAGCTTTTACTGCCCAGAGGTAACTGACCAGCCCTTATCCAACCTGGAAGCAACCTCAATGTGCCCCTTCCATGGCTGAGATTGCAGCACCTCGCTAACAGGAAGTAGTCACTCCAAAACTACGACTCCTCCCCTTTCTCCTTTTTACCCTTCCAGAATTGGGATATGTTGGGTAATAGTCTCAGATCATGAGGATTTGCAACAGGCTGTATTGGGCAATAGCCCCATGACATAAAGAATTGCTTAGCCCTAGACTGACCATTCAGTTCAGATCCACCTCCAGAAAACAATATGTCCAGGCAGCAGAAGCAATTCACCCTGCCAAACTGTGATGCGTCAAGACATTGCAAAGGCTCCTCCATCTTGTATTCTTGCTGAGGCCATTTCAAGTTTAATGAGAATTTGATCTCCTTGATGGAGAATCCCATGGAAAATTACCCAACTCTATTCTAGGAACCCAAGGTCAAGATGCCCCAGCCAACTTATCTTAACTTCTTGTGCAGAACCCCCTTCAGCTAACCACTTTCTTTAGCTTCTGTTAAACTGCTTGCTTCTTGCAAGCCAGAACACGGTTTGTGCCTTTAAAATCCTATTGGTCTCAATGCATGGGGCTACACTGAGGTACTGAATACATGAGTGTAGTCGAGCTAGCAGAATAAAGACTTTCAATTGGCTATAAATTGTTTAGTGGTCATATCTGGTGGGTTCCCCACAACAAAACCTCAAAAACAGCTGTAACTTCCTAGTAGATATATATACATGCATGTATAAATGTATGTTTTAAGTTTTTTTCTTTTAAAGATTTATTTATTTAGTTAGCTAGTTATTATGTATGCAGTGTTCTACTTGCATGTGTCCTTGCAGGCCAGAAGAGGGCACCAGATCTCATTACAGGTGGTTGTGAGCCACCATGTGGTTGCTGGGATGTGAACTCAGGATCTCTGGAACTGGTTAACAGCCAGTGCTCTTAACCACTGAGCCATCTCTCCAGCCCATGTTTTAAGTTTTAATTACTGTGCCTAAAAGATCTATGCTTCTAACCTGTAAGCCCCTTGCTCAAGGACATATACTTCCTGAAATGCTGGAAGCTATTGTTTATGGAAGATAACAAGCCACATGTTTTCATTCCCCTAAACAAGTTTGCTTGACCCATCTGCCCTGGATGTGCTTGATTATATGCAGACAGGAAGTACAACAGGATATACACTTGCCCCTGATTGGATGTAGGAGGCAGGCAGGAAGTATGTGACAATTTATATTTGCTCCTGACTGGACCTGATGGGAAATACAGTAGCTCATGGGTTTGCCTTTATAAGCCTCTGCAAAATGTGACTTGTTGCTATTTTCTGAGAACCTTGGAATGGACCTGGCCAGAGTCCATCATCCTGGCCAGCATTTAATTAAAGCTTGCTTCAAATATGGCTCAAGAATTGTGGTAGTGGCCTTATTTCAACTAGTAGGATTAATAGTATATTCCTCAGCCCCTCTAAAGAGTTTAACCTTTATCCCATGGAAAGGGTGGGGCCAGGCCCCTCACTGTTTCAATACAGCATTCAGTCTCAGATGACCCGTTATGACTGTGTCATCTGCTTCTCTGCTTTACTTACTTACAAACATCCAGTTAGGTAAGCCCTTTATGACATGCGCTTCTTTCCAGGCATACGAAGATTTTGCTTTTAAATACATGCTAATACCTGGAGAAATGCACATAAGCTCTATTTGCCTCAAAGCTCATCTTTAAAACAAAGAAGCTATGAGTCTGAGGATGTAGCCTGGTGGTAGACCTTGCCTGGCACCAACAAAGGAAACATATTCGTTATGCTACTTTCTACACGTTACAGACCATTCAGTTCCACCCAAGAAACATGTCCAGGTAGCACAAGCAACTCACCCTGCCAAAACACAAAAATGGCTGTAACATCCTGGTAGATACAGACATACACAATATTACATCCTGGACTTGAGTCAGGACAGACTTCGTTTGAATTTCAGTTCTGTTGCCCCAAAACTGGGTGTGCTACCTCATTTTTGAGGCTCTGTTCCTAACACATAAACTTCTAACACAATCACTTCTAAAGAGGATGGGGACAATCTGCATAAAGCACACAGATGTGGCTAACAGATGTTGCTTCTTTGTCTTGGCAGTCTTTGGCAGCAACCAAAACAACAGAGCAGGAATAAAAAACCCTTGTTAGTGGGAATGCATTAGTACTTTGTGACCTCATTGTTCATATCAAGAATGCAGACACACTCACTTCTGGCAAAGTTGATTGAAAAGAACTTTAGGAGAAAGTGGTCCTTTTTCAGCCTCTTTCATGCTGTGAAGAAACAGGAACAAGGCTGAAGTCAATGGTCCAGGGCTTGAAAGTTCCACCACTAATGGATCCTTTGAAAACATGATCAATGTTATGTCAGAAATACATAATTTGAAAATAAAATATTATCAAGATTCTTAAAGCTATTCTTTATTTAAGTGATAGTAACAACAACAAGACCTAAATTTAAATAAATGTTACTGTTAACTACAAAACAAGAGTCCTGGACATTTTGCTCAATAAAAGTTCTGACTTTTGTTTTTTTTCCAGTATGTGCAAATAAATTTTTTTTTTTTTATCCACAATCTGTCTGAACCATAGCATACTTTGAAAAGCTACAATTTCTGAAAACCTTATCTGGTAATTTTTACAAGATACTTTAGAATTATGTTTTAAAGCCCTCAGACTACAGTCCCATTTGGTGGCTTAGAGAAACAGAAAAGAAACATTTTGGAAACAGGTTATTACCTTTCTGTAGCTGTACATGTGCTTGTTACTCACCAGCTGTGGAGCTGACTGCTTGTTACTCACCAGCTGTGGAGCTGACGAAAGCGAAATCTTGAGTTTTGTGCCGTCTTCTTTTATCTCATTCATCAGTTCAAAGAGAATGTGAGTCTGGGCCAAGTTCTAGACAACAGAGCCAAGCCTCGATTCAGTTAGTATGTGGTTCTCATGTGATGATGTGAGTGTTCTCTGTTCAGTTAGTGTGTGGTGTGGTGATATATTGTGTCCCCCAATATATTCTGCATCCTAATAAACTTATCTAGGGTCAGAGGACAGAACAGCCACTAGATAGACATAGAGGTCAGAAAATGGTGGCACTCATACCTTTAATCTTATCACTTGGGAGGCAGAGATCCATCCAGATCTCTGTGAGTTCAAAGCCACATTGGAAACAGCCAGGCATGGTGACTCATGCCTTTAATCCCAGGAAGTGATGGCAGAAAGCAGAAAGGTATATAAGGAGTGAAAACCAGGAATTATAGCCTGGTTAAGCTTTCAGGCTTTTGAGCAGCAGTTCAGCTGAGATCCATTTGGATGAGGACCTAGAGGCTTTCAGTCTGAGGAAACAGGATCAGCTGAGGAATTGGCGAGGCAAGGTGGCTGTGGCTTGTTCTGCTTCTCTGATCTTCCAGCGTTCACCCCAATACCTGGCTCCGGGTTTGTTTTTTATTAATAAGAACCTTTGAAATTCATGCTACAGTGTGGTTCTCATGTGATGACGTGAGTGTTCCCTGTTCAGTTAGTGTGTGGTTCCCATGTGATGACATGAATGCTCTATGTTCAGTTAGTGTGTGGTTCTCATGTGATTACGTGAGTGTTCTCAAAGCTCCCAATCTCATTCAGCACAGCAAACCATGTCCACTTAAAATCTTAAAGATTTAACTGAACACACTACGTTTTCTGTAGTATAACTAAAGAAGCACTACAAGACAACAGACTTCCAGATAACACTGCTGAGTACATATATGATAATCACCAACAATAATCCAAACAAAGAGAAACAGAAGGAACTTTCTAGAATAACATTTAACAGTGAGTGGACAGTCTACACTCATATTAACCAGTTCAAATAATTTTTCACAGTTTACAAATCATGCTGATGACTTACCTGAATGACTGCATTGAAAAAGCAAGTATTTCCTAGATTTGTAATTCCTTTCACAGATGGCACACAGCTGCCCTTTTTTCCCTTCTTTATTTCACCTGTTTCACGCTTTTCTTCACAAAGTTTTATGAGTCTTGAAAATGCACCTATGAAACATACATAAGTCACAGAAAACTTACATAAGATATAAAATTAAATATGCCACTTGACAATTTAAATATATCATTTAAAATCAAATAAGACTGAATCTTTGAATTAGTGTTCCTGAAGGACAAGACCACAAACAAAATATCTTTGGTTTTATATTTTATAGCTATTGAGTTGAATTCACTGTTATACAAATATCTGTACCCTTACATCACATTACAGAATAATTTCCTGATGAATTTAAAAGTTTGAGGGAAATAGGTGAAAACAAACAGAAAAGATCTTCCTTCTAAATACAATTCCCCACAAGAAAAGAAATGGGTGCTTAAAGACAAGCTATTCAAAGCCTCAGACAGGAAAGATGAGAAATGAGCTTATAAAATTGTTGTTGTGCCAAAGAATAAGGAAGGGGTCAAAATGGTAATGAACACTTGGGTCACGGGAGGTGGAGATAGGATGATCAGAAATCCAAGATCACCTTCAGATACAAATAGAGTTTAAGTCAGCCTGGGCTACAAACAAACACTGGATTCCAGCTGCATGGTATAACAGTCCGAGGTGTGCAATCGGAATATCAAAATAAGGGTAATATAACAGATGGTTACATAATGAATGCATATTCATGACAGATTTTTTATGAGATTAAACGGTGAGAGAAATTTTTTCAATTTAAAAACATTTTAATGTGGGGTTGGGGATTTAGCTCAGTGGTAGAGCACTTGCCTAGCAAGCGCAAGGCCCTGGGTTCAGTCCTCAGCTCCGAAAAAGAAAAAACCAAAAAACACTTTAATGTGTATTGGCATTTTGCCTACATGTATGCCTGCGCACAAAGGGCCAAAGAGGGCATTGGATTCCTTGAAGGGAATGGAGTTAGAGATGGCTGTGAGCCACCATGTGGGTCGGGAGGAATCAAACCCAGATTCTCTGAAAGAGCAGCCAAGTGGTCCTAACTGCTGAGCCATCTCTTCAGCTCCATGAGGGGAAACTTTTCTTTCTTTTTGAGACAGGGTCTCACTAGGTAGTCCTGGCTGTCCTGGAACTCACTATGTAGACCAGGCTAGCTTCAAACTCACAAGATCTGCCTGCCTGTGTCCTGAGTGGTGGGACTAAGGAAAGCATCATTACACCATGTTCAGAGGGAAACCTTCTGATGAAAAGATGACAATTAGTAAACAAAAGAAAGGACCAGGTCAGGAAACTACCATCTTACAGTGATGCTCTTCGGTAAAACTGGCAACTTTCCGATGAGTTTGAAAAAAATTTTTTTAAAGATTTATTTATTTATTCATTTACTTATTCATTCATTCATTCATTTATTTACTAGGTATACAGTGTTCTGCCTGAATGCCATGAGAGGGCGCCAGATCTCATTACAGATGGCTGTGAGCCACTATGTGGTTGCTGGGAATTGAACTCAGGACCTCTGGAAGGTTCTCTGGAAGGTTCTCTGGAAGAACAGCCAGTGCTCTTAACCTCTGAGCCATCTCTCCAGCCCAGAGTTTGAAAATTTAAAAGCTAAAACAGTTAATGGGATCACACTATACTACAAAAAGGTGGTGGTGCACACCTTTAATTCTAGCACTTGGGAAGCAGAGGCAGGTGAATCTCTGTGAGCTCAAAGCCAGCCTGGTCTACAAAGTTCCAGGACAGCCAGGACTATTACACAGAGAAACCCTGTCTCGGGGGTGGGGGGATATCTAATAAACCTGAGTGCCATGCTTTGTACTTGACAATCTAGATAACTAGCATAGATCTGAATTTTTCATTTTATTTGTTTCTGAAACAGGGTCTATATAGCTATGGTTGACCTAGAACTTGCTACATAGACGAGGTGGTTTTGAATTCCTAATGCTGGAATTAAAGATATGGAACACCATGCCCAGTTGAAAACTGCATTATTAGTTTGTGTTCAATGACAATGTAAGAATAAAGAACAATTTCTAACATTTACAAACTGACATGTTGATCAGAACTATGTAATAGATTACTGGGATTCAAAATCATCAAACAGGGAACTGTGAATGTAGCTTACTTCATAGATTGTCTGCCTAGCATACAGGAAGCCCTAGGTTCCTTTCCTATACCACAGAGCACCAGGCTGGTAGCATATGCATGTAATCCCAGCATGTGGAAGGTAGAAGCAGAAAAATCAGAAATTCAAAGTCATCCTCAACTACACATTGAATTTGAGACCAACCTGGGATATATAAAACCCTGTCTTAAAAACAAACAAACAAACAAAAACATTTATAGTCATCCCTTGATATATCTACAGTAGACCATGTTTCCAGGACTCCTAGAACAGATACCCAAGTCCTTCATTTTAGGAATTCATCAGGCATAAAAAGGCTGGATTTCTACTAGGGTTGCTGTCTGAGCTTGTGGATAGTCACTGATAATGGATTCCTGTTCTTTTATCACATATATTAATTTTATATAATATATAATCATGGGTTTTATTGTGACATTTTCATGTATCTGTTTTTGTCATATTCCCCCTCCTTTGGTCTCCTCCTATTCTTGCTGATCCCTGTTTCTCAGTTAATCTCATTTCTATGTTCCATGATTGTTTTATTGACAATGGTGTTTTAGTGATCCATTTTTAATGCTTCCTACAAGATCCCAGGTGAGGGACCATTTACAAAAGCATGGCTCCTTACAAGTAGCTAGGCCACCAAAGATAATGTCTGTCAGATGTAATGGCACATGCCTTTAATCCCAGCAGCCTCAGACAGGTTAAGTGATCTGCTCAGGGACGTAACAGTAACATTCCAAGTATAAATCCATCACTTTACAGCCTAAATCCCCATCAATGACTCATGTTCAATAACAATAACTATAAAAGACAGTTGGCTAAGATTCTTACAGATTTGGGTGTATGCCACTCTGAACAGATGAATTTTCGAAAGACCTTCCTTTCTTTCACATCGATAATAAGTGCTGTTCTGATATGTAACATATCTGAGACCAGGACTCACGGAGCTTACCTGGGTGTAAACCTCCTGCTTCCCCTCCAGTGTTCAGGATGATCAACATGCCAGGTTTTACTAAGTGTTGGGGACTGAACCAGGACTCTTACATCCTAGTCAGCCACTCTATCAACTGAACTACATACCAGCTCTGTTCTTTTAACTTTTCACACAAAAAACAATGGTTGGGAGAAATAAGCTACACATAGATTAAATAGTACACAAGTCCACTTGGAATTTCCTAGAATAGTCCTAGAAATAAGTAATATTAAATTTTTTTGATATATACTTTATGTATCTCTGTACTTCATTCATCCATCACTTTTTAAAACATCTGGGATGACATCCCAAAGTAAACAATGTTCATAAGACCATCTGGACAAAACTGCAGGCAAGAAAAAAAAGCACAAACATATGGAAAAACAGATTTCCCCCCCTTCCCTTCAGCAGTAAGGAATGACAAATGTCAAATCTGGAGATAGCCACGCTTCACTGTGCGATGCTCTGCAGCACCACCTGGCTCTCCATGCACAGCCACCAAATATGGACAGAACGCCAGAAAGAACATGCCCACAGGGCAGCAGCGATAAACACAGTTGATTTCATGGTTAAATGGTCGCTTCACACAAGTGGCAAGGGTCTGCTCACTTTTACAGTAATCTATGAGAAAATATCCAAGATTAACAACGCTATTAGGCTTATGTATTAAATACATCAGATAATTTAACCAGAAAAACATAGTAGCATTTTCTAAAAGCTACTTTTTTATTTAAAGTAATAGGGAAAGCTTTAGAATACAGAACAATTTAAATCCATTCAGTTTATGGAATGCCTACAGTGTGCCAGCTATTATATGATCCACTATTTATATTTATATAGAATCCTTATGATTTATGACCAGAAAGTACAGAGCTGGTACATAAAGCCTTGAATTTTGTACCAGCAGAACTTCCAGGACCTAAGTATACATTTTTGTACATCTATTCATTAATGAACTGTCTGGTGAGAGCTAAGATTCTAGTTTAAAACAGGGGGGTGTCTGAATTAGTCAAATATTTTACACCTAAAGGTATGTGTGTTTCTGCTGTTTATGTGCTGTTGGGGCCTGAACTCCAGGTTTCAACCCCTAGGCAATTCTAGGCAAGCATGCTAGAAAATGAGCCTTACCACAGCCCTGTACCTCCTTTAGAAACAGAACCAAATACCCTAAAGACTGAACTCCAAGAATTTTTTTGGAATGTGTTATAACGAAAAGGGCAAAGCTGCTACCAAAACAATTTTAAAAGAGCATACAAATTTTTTATTTCTGTTCATTTTTTTTACCTTGTTTCACTGACAACTAAAAAAATAAATTGGTACCCATTATTAGAAAAAGTAAGTCCAGGATTTCAAGGTTATTTTATTTTAAAAGCATACTCTATCTACAATATCATCTATTCCTTCACATTAACAGAATTATGTACAATGAGAATGCAAAGAACAGACTTTGGGCATTCTAGCTTGTCATTTGTTTGCTTGTTTTGGTTGCTGTGCTGGGTACTGAACCACTACACTTGTACATGACCCCAAGCCTCCTCTAGCTACACTTCTTATGGCTTATTTTAAAAACTTTTTTTTGAGAAATGGTTTCTCTGTGTACTAGCCCTGGCTGTCCTGGAACTAACTGTGGATCAGGCTGGCCTGAATTTACAGAGATCCACCTGCCTCTGCCTCCTAAGTACTGGGATTAAAGGTGTGTGCTGCCACCACTCAGCAAACAAACCTTCACTTTTTTTTCCCTTCAAGACCGGTTTCTCTGTGTAGTCCTGGCTGTCTTCTTATGGCTCTTGTAATAACTCTGTAGTCTACATACACAAAGAGCAGTTTGAGCAAGCCATGGGGAGCAAGCCAGTAAGCAGCACCCCTCCATGGCCTCTGCATCAGCTCCTGCCTCCAGGATCCTGCCCTCACTACTTTTGATGATGAACTGTTATATAGAACTGTGAGTGAAATGAACCCTTTCCTCCCCAAGTTGTTTTTAGTCATGGTGT